TCTCAATCTCTTCGCCATCCATCCTGACGCTGCCAATTGGTCCAGCCAATTGGATATCTAGCATTCTAAAATTTCTAGTGAGTGAAAAAAAGTTGAAATTATTGGTGTTTTTGTTTTTACTTTTCATTTACTTTATTGATCTAGTGACTTTTGTCTTATAATAAATCTGATAGAGTTATTAAAACTTTAAAGCCCTCCTTGCTTTCTCATTGATTCTGATTCATGGCTACCCTCTATCAGTTTTTCCAAGGGAACAAGTCTTAACAAAAGGAGCCAGCCTACCTTTTCCAGGATACTTGCTGGGGGATTGCCAGAGAAGTGTGGCCTTTAGGTTAATAGCAAAACGCAATACTGATAGGCTATCTTTAATTCCATAACACTGAAACAATTACTTAAGCAAAATTTACAGTTGTTATCAGCAATTAAAGAGAGGTTTAAATATTTTGTGTCTTTCTGTACTTACCCCCCTCATCAAGTGTTCTTAAGCTCTTAAACAACAATCTACAATCGTCCCCATGAGAGGAGACTGCTCAACTTTCTCCTGATGAGCAGCTGGTCGATTTGAACCTTGTGCCTTTGGAATTGCAGCACAGCTTTTTATCATTAGGCCACCAGAGCTACCTCTTCAGGGTATCAAATGGATTTTATATCATGAAATTTAACAACCAGAAGAGAATAAAATATATGAATAGGACCTTCTAAGAATCAAATCCCTATGCACATCAAAAAAATTCTCCAACAGGGTAAAAAGGAAACCCACAAACTGGAGTCACATGTTTGATAATGACATATCTGATAAGGAATTCATATCTAAAATTTACAGAATACTCCAGCACTTCAAGAAAAAGGTACTCAGTTACAAAATGGGTACAGGATATGAATAGACCACCTAAGAAGACATTTAGATAGCAAACACATGAAGAAATGCTCCAAATACCTGGCTCTCAGAGACATGCAAGTAAAAACAACTACGAGATATCCTCTCACCCCAATAACAATAGCAAAGTTCAACAGAGCAGCAAACACAACAAATGCTGTTGGGGTTGTGGAGAGATTGGAACCCATATTCACTGCTGGTGGGAGTGTAAAATGGTGCAAAATGGAAGTGTGGAGCTTTCTCAAAAAGTTGTAAATAGAAATACCATTTGTTCCAGCAATTTTACCACTAGGAATATATCCTAAAGAAACCAGAGCTGCCACTCAAACAAATGTATACACACTCATATTTATAGCTGGGTTATTCACAATAGTAGAGAGATGAAAGCAACCCAAGTGCCCTACAACAAATGAATGGATAGAAAAACTATGGTATATTCACACAGTTCTCCACAGCACTGAAAAATAAGGAACTCATGAGTTATTACACAA